GCTCCAATAAAGGGCCTCGCAAATATCTTTCAACGGAAAATGATCAGCCAAAAACAAAAAATGAAATTGAGAAAGCCAACAAACTAGCTGAAAAAAAATCAAATTAAAAAAAAACACAAACTTGAAACCAAAAACCAGAAAATTGAGCTACTTTATACCTTTTCAAGTTTAGCTGCATTGAGGGCACGGACATACTCAGTTGCTTTCTCTTGGGTTCGAAGATTGGGATCAAAATTCCGGAAAACCCTCTAATCAGAATCAATACATACACAAATTTAAGAAAGCCAGCTGAAACAGCATCCTCATTCTCTCCTGTGAGATAAAGAAAGTTTGGGATTGGGATCCTGGTGATTACCTGGAGGTCCTGGCTTCTTTCACGGGTGAATTCATCTGTAGAACGCGATATCACTTTCACCTTCATTGTAGAATTATTCCAATCCAATAATTGATGAATGGATTGAACAGAGAAAACCCCGCGGGACTATAGCAGCTTAAACCCTATACCCAACATGAAAGTCTCAACCTGGGAATTTAAGGTCGCCCAGTAGCGGTACACATAGGGAGTTAATTTCACTTTGAGCCCTCAAAAATAAAAAACTTCAATTTTGGCTCTCCAAATGAGAAAATTGTATTACAACCCTGAAAATATTTTATCTCAGGTACATTAGTAATTTTTAGTTACAATCACTAATTCCATATCTAACAAAGAAGTGAAAAAGTATAATAGTTCATGTCTAATTCCTTTCTTAATTGTGGAACTTGTCATTATAATTATTGTTACAATTTTGTTAATTCATGTTTAGTTCCCTTCTCAAACATGAGATTTTCATTATATTTTAATGATTGCATTACTAGATACAAATCCATATTTTGTACTACTCATTTTACTAATTTGTTTTTGTTGGTATCTCTCAAAAGTTTCTATTTTATTTTCCAATGTCCTCCACCTCTCCAAGGTTTTTTTTCCCTATGTTATGTCTTAAAAAATCCTTCCTACCATTTGCCAATAAAAAGTGGAAACAATGCTTTGGTTTGCCAAAAAACAAAGAAAGAAAAAAGAAATAGATTATGAGTTGTTTCTTTCAAATACTTCAAAATTTCATTAGATATATAATGTGTTCCCTTCACATTTTAAGTTGCCAAACTTGTTTCATTTACCACCAATTTTCATTTCAATTTTTTAAATGTGGGTTCGACGTGACTTGTGATTTTTGTCCAGATTTTTGAATCTGATATTAAATCTTAATTCTTGGGACATCAACTCTAATGTTGATTTCTAATTTCCATTTATAACCTAAACAAGAAAAACAACCTAATTAAAAAGAAGAACAAATTGCATGTATAGATGTACACAACAACTAATGGCATCAATCACGCTTTTTTCTTAGGCTCTCGTGACTTTTTCCAAAAATCTAGTAGAATGTTGTTATTCTCCTAATACTCCTCCAAAATGTCTCAAAATTTTTCGTTTGCATATTTAACAAATTTTTTTCCAAATAACACGTTTCTTGCATTACAAACACATTTTTAAATATTTTTTTTATTTTTAGACCATCTTTTTATCTCGCATATATCACATAAAAAAATATAATAATTATTTTAAATAAAACTTTATCCAAACACACTCAAACAAGGTGTTGTGATTTTTTAGGCCAATTTTTGTGGTAGCAACTGCAAAATACTCCACACACAAAACTTCGGTCCTCCCAATACCCCATGATATAGAGTAAGTAACAGCATGCAATCTCATTTTCCTTCAGAATACTCTTTAAAACAACAATCTCATTTTTTTTTTCAGAAGAAAAACAACAATTGACAAGTACAAACAACCAAACATAGAATCTTGAGAATTATTTGGGGAAACTTTTTCTTTATCTATTGTAGTACATTTCTTTTTTTTGGTGTGGTGGGAATTGGGAAAATGGTTTAGTAATTTGGTCGGTTGATTTGAAGAGAATGATGATTTTTTTTTTATTGGTACAGAAATTAATGTTCTATAATTTTCATGTTCTTGATTGATGTGTAATAGTATTATATCCCTTAAATATTTTTTTTAACTTTAATTACTAATTCCCCATCTACAAACAAGCTACATAAAAGAACATGGACCGAAGAGCCATGAAGAGAAAAAAAAAATATAGGAGTACTTAATTGTAATTCTACAATTACAAGCATTCCAGTGAGGTTTCAGTATGTTATAGTAATTTATTTCGATTAGGGCCTCTTTGAGGTTCTTTTTTTATGGCAAATTTTTTACTGTGATAATTTGCCAAGAAAAAACCCAAAAAAATGAAAAAAAAAAGGTAAAATCCAAGTAGAAAACTCTCTCTCTCACCAAAAACTAATCCTTTCAAGATTCTAGTGACTGCCCTTTAGCAACATAAGTAGTATTGTCTATCTCTGTAAAGATCGAACATGTTTGGTATAACGCAGAAGAATTAATTACACTTCATTCTTTTTCTTCTTCTTCTATGTTTCTAGTCATCAACAAAATGAAAATCCACAAATCTTTTCTCTTCTATCATGTGACATGAAGATGGATGATAAAATTGACATCGACATGTACAAGATGAATCTGTCGTATGGTGGATTTTCAATAAATATGGAATATGGAAAACCAAATCCAATGCATACCCGGCTCTTCTTTTTCTTGATGGCTGGCTGCTACTATTTCATCAAAATTTCTCCCTCTCCTTTCTGTACCAAGCATCTTCGTCTCCAACGTAGAAGAAGCAGTGAAGCTTCTGCTCTTCCTAGCAGGCAGTTTTATTGTTGGAGATTTTGTTCTGAACTTTTTGAAGTTTTTGGCCTTCACAATTTTGTCTTTGTTTGTTATGCAACAACATATGGTATCCTCTTCATGATCAAATTAATACGTGCATTAGGGGAGACAATCGATCAGTTGAGGGACGAGAAGGATGGGAGAAGGTTGCAACAATTGAGAAAGTTGATGAAACAGAATCCATTTCATCTGGTTGGTCCTCAAATAAAGACCAATTCTAAAGAAGATACTTATTTGTAATAAGAGAGCAAAGAAAACTCTCACAAGAAAAATTTGCAGGGCTTGTTCGAAATCTATCTATATTTAAAGAAGCAAATTAGCCTTTAATCAGTAGGAGCTATATCTAAGCATTTACGTTGTAATTCTTCAACTGCTGTAAATGTGAAGATTGGAGACCAATTTTGGGCAGCTAAAATGTAAAAGCCTTCATTTAGTTGGAGAAGTTCCAAAACACGGCAACAACAGTCGAAATTAAATAGTCCCACTGGTAAAAGCTTCTTGAAGCTCTTATACTCATTTCCTGAAAGAAAATATGTCAATTTCAGAACATCATCATCTCTAAAATGTGTCTTTGAATGCAAAAACATGGCAAGCCCATAAGCCTTCCTGAGCTGACATCTGCATTTCCTATTCATCCTTTAAATCTCCCTACATTATTTATCGCCTGATGCCAATACTAAGTTTAGTGTTTATTTTATTTTATTTTAGATTGTGTGTTCTTAAAGTTATTTTTGGAGTTATTTTTGAAATTTGTTAATGTATATACCACAAACAAAAATAGTTTGCGGAAAAAATAGTAAATCCCAATAAAGCCTATATAAAACATATTTCACGAACAATACACTGGGGGTCAAAATTATTCCGGGCTTTCAATTTTAACATGTTTATCAAACGTGAGAGGACACAAGAGTGTGTACTTGGATAGGATATCATGTGAAATATTTACTCTAAAATTATTATGATGTGATGCATATGAGATAAACAGATAATTGGGAAGATAAAAGAGTTGATTGAAAAATGTGTTTGTGATGCGAGTAAATAATTTTTTGCAAATAATGTGATATCCAAAGTTTAGATAGGAGATAATTTGAAAAAAATTATTTAAAATAATATTGTGGCGCTTTTTGTGGTTCGATATATGTGAATAAAAAGATGATTAAAAATATAAAAAAATTAGTTGAAAAATGTGCTCATGATACAAGTCAAATAATATTGGGAATAAATGTTCATATCCAAATAGACCCAGTTGATCTTGATTGGGAAAAAAACTGTACATTTCAGATGACAAGCTGTAAATCTATTTTAAGAACACGTGTAGGGCTTATAAAAAAATATACTAAGTTGATATTATGTTCAAGTTTGATTTACATTCTGAACGTGAATATATCTTACATATATAAAGCGTCCAAAGCCTTATGAACAGTGCAGGATGAGCCGGTTATCGCGTGATTCTTGTGGCTTTGAGGGGCCTTTTGGTCCTTTGATGATGGGTGGCGGTGGCTCTGCTGGTGTTTTGCTTTTGTCCGCTGGGTCTCTTGCATTGTAACTTTGCTTTGTCCGCGTGGCTCTCTATTGGCCCTTTTTGCTCTGTCCGCGTGGGCCTCTTGTTTGTAGTTGCTTTGGTTCCACTGGTGAGTGGGCGGTGGCTGCTGTCCGCGTGCCTTTCTTTACCAGGGGTGAGTGGCTTTCTTTACCAGGTGTCCAAAAAAAGCGTGAGTTGGTTTAGCTACAGTACACGCGTGGTTGGTCGTTGCTGTCCGAAGCGGTTTATGGGTCTGCATGGCTCTTATTCTCTTTTGCTCGTTCTCGGTCACCAATTTGCTCTCATTGTTTTCTTGCTTGTGTTTTCAGCTATTCAGCAAATATAACTTCAAAAAGTTTCTTTTGGTTTTGAAGTGCTTTACTGTTCAGCAAACTTAGGCCGTGAGCTCAATCTCTTTTTGGCTCTAATTTTCCTTCTTAGTTTTCTTTCGCAACTTCGGAAATAACTTGAACAGCTTATGCGGTCAGCGGGATTTTTTTTTTAGCTTTCGCTCTTCTTTTTGGTTTTTTTTGGTAGCTTCGGAAATAACTTGAGAAAGTTTCTTTTGGTTTTAAAGTACTTCACTGTTTGATTGGCTTCGCTGGAAATTCTTTTTTGTTGCTGTGGTTCTTTTGTATGGTTCATTTTAGACGTTTGTTTGGTTTCCGCTTGAGCTGTGTATAATATGCTTTGAGAATGGGTCGAAATAGAGTATATGGAAGTTTGGAAGAGGCTCGTGCTGAGAAAAATCGAAGGAGCCGCGAGCAACGTGCTGCTGCTCGGCGTGGGACAAAGAATGATGCGCCATTAGGAGTGTGTACATTAGCTGTCACGGCTTTTAATATACATGACCCAAATGCTGTGAATCAGCCAAATATGGGTGTCGTTGAATCTTCATTAGGTTCGGGCTTAGTATTGCCATTTGCAGAGAACAATGCAGAGCACCTTCGAGCTGTATGTCTGTGCTTATTTTGAGCATGTCTCATGCAATATAAATTGTTGTTTAAATCTTTTGGAATAAATGTTAAATTATTTATGTTAACAGTGGTTTCGCCTAAACATGTACTTTGGTGAGACAAACGAGTCTGACTTAGTTAAGCATACTAAACTCACAATCTTTAACTATGTTTTTGGTGTTTTAAAGGAAAATCAAGGAGATGTATCTAGGTCTGCTGGTAATGGTGCTAGCGAGGTTCCAACAACTAATTCAGATGCGGGTGAATCATCTTTGCATAGGCGACGTCGGTGTACAAGACGCTCTGTGACTAATCCATTGACCACAATAATTACAGAGCCTGCAGTATTGCCCAGTAATGTAGAGCAATTTCCAACCATATGTTTGTACTTATTTTGAGCATCTTTCATGCAATAAGATTGTTGTTTAGACCCCTTGCAATAAATGTTAGACTACTTATATTACCGGTGGTTTTATCTAGGCATGTACTATGGCTAGACTAACCAGTGGGTGAGATATTAGTTTTTGTCTATTACAAGTCAGATTGATTGACTTAGGCACACTGAATTCATGGTCCTTAAGTACGCTTTGGCTGGTTTGCAGGAAAATGAACAAAATGTCTGTGCGTCTATTGCTGATGGTGCTAACGAGATTCCATCAACTAATTTAGATGCTGGTGAATCGTCATTGTGTAGGCAACGTCGGTCTAGAAAACGAGCTGTGACTGATCCATTAACTACAATAGCTACAGAACCTGCTGTATTGCCTGATGTTCCAAGTTGTCCATATTGTCATGCAAAACGATTTCATCAGGAACCTCCTAGTTTTTGCTGTGCCTCCGGTGAGGTACAGTTATTACCTACTGAGATGCCGAGAGAACTTATGCTATTATATATAGAAGACTCTGATGAGGCTGCTGAGTTTCGCAGATGTGTTAGAAGTTATAATAACATGTTTGCATTCACTTCGATTGGTATCCATTCTGATAAATCTTTGGCTGCAAACTACAATGGAGTTTATACATTTCGAATCCAGGGACAAATGTATCATTATATTAATCCACTTATTCCAGAGGATGGTGAGAAGCCACGGAACTTGCAACTTTACTTTGTTGACACTGACCATGAAACAACACAGCGGCTCTCAATCTCAAGTAGATTTCAAGAAACACTGGTGACAAAGCTTGAGGAAATCTTAAAGATTAATCCTTACTCTGCATTTTTCTGAGGATTACAAGATTTGCCAGGCATAGATGATTATAAGATTGTACTTGACACCACGCCTGCTGTAGATCAACGAGTTTTCAATAAACCTACTGTGTCGCAAGTAGGAGCCATTTGGACCGAGAGCACAAATTCTGAACATGTTAACTCTAAACATATACAAATTTATGGAAAGAATGGTCAAACGCAGATTGTTAAGCATTATTTTGCTTGTCATGATTCGTTGCAATATCCTCTTATCTTTGCAAATGGAGAGCCAGGTTGGCATCTAGGGATTGAAAAAATCCGTCATCCAGATAAGAGCAATATTACATCAGTGACCTGTGAGGGAGAAACTGTTATAACTGCAACTACAGCAACGACGGCAACTGCTATCATTGATGCAGAAAATAGAGGTATTGCGAATAATCGTTTTTATATACCATCGTTAACCTATGAATATTATATTTCCTTATGATATATGCTAATCTTACGTAATCTATTATTTTTATCAATAGATAATATAAGTATCATTATCTGTTTGTTTCAGCTATTAACCAAAGAAAAAGAAAGCGCAACACAGTTTCATGTCGTGAGTATTATTGCTACAAATTGCAAATCCGAGATGCTGATCGATCAATGTTATTACATATAGGGAGATTACTGCAGCAATATGTAGTCGATGTCTATGTCAAGATTGAGTCAATCAGATTAGATTTCCACAGAGGAAGAAGCAAACAGGCTCGACTTCGAACAGAGATTTATCAAGGCATAGTTGATAGTATTTCCAGTGGTGAATCATCATCATCGAGTATTGGTAAACGTATTTTTCTGCCAGCTTCATTCATTGGTGGCCCTCGAGATATGCGTCGACGATATATGGATGCTATGTCTTTGGTTCAGCGATATGGAAAACCAGATATCTTTTTGACGATGACCTGCAACAAGAATTGGCCTGAGATTAAAAAATTGCTTTTGCCAACTGACAAAGTTGAGAATAGGCCAGATTTAATAGCTCGAGTTTTCCGTGCAAAGCTTCAACAACTGAAAGATGAACTTCTGAAAAAGAACATATTTATTATAACGCACGAAACCATTCCGAGACCATTACACTAGTAATCATCCCTGTCTTATGTCTATTTTTCGCTCTGGAAATGCACATATTCACATTTACTTTTCCTTGCATCTAGACTCTTTTTTAAAGTTAATCTCCCTTTTGTTAAAAAAAAATACTATTTAGATCTGACACCTTTTAGCTAAACACTTTTATCAATTGAAAGTATTCAACATAGCACAGAGATGAAACCCAAAGAATTGGGATAATATCAGAAACCTCCCCTGGGATTTCTGATAATTTCACTAAACTCTTTTGAGGTTTGAAAAATTACACTTATCTCCCTTGATGTGATAGTTTTAGTAACAAAATCTTAAAATAATATTGATTTGGTCAATTTTTTAAATGAATACCCAAAAATGTCCTTGTGTAATGAGTTTTAATTTATTTCCTTATACAATTATAAGATTACCTAGTATAATTATAAGGAAAAGGTGCCAAATTATTTATGTCCATACCTACTATTTGATAAACAACTATAATAATAAATTTATCACAATAATAGGATACTTTTGATGGTACTTTATTATGGATTTAGATTTATAAGATAGAAAAAAAAATGTTGAAATAATTCATTTTTGGACCATTTCTTTTTTATTTATTGTTTATTTTAGTACCAAAAAATAGGAAATAAAGATCAACAAAAACATTGAATAACATATAAAATTAACTCCTCAAAAAAATCACTAGTTCAACATTTGGTTACAATAGAAACTAGAAAGGTTTTATTCAAAAAAATTTTGAAAAGGAATAAGAAGGAATAAGAATGAAAAAATAATTTTAAAACTCATTCTTAGTATAAGCATACCAAATAAGGGAATTTCATTAAAATATTTAAGGGTAGAATTATTATTTTAAATGACAAGGGAGGTATGTGTAATTTTTCAAACATCAAGGGAGCTTAGTGAAATTGTTAGGAACCTTAGGGGAAGTTTTTGGAATTATTCCAAAGAATTAATACCTCAAATATTTCTTAACACAGAGAAAACCTTTTTATGAATTGAATGTATTTAGACATAGAAAAGAGATCAGATCCATCAAAAGTTTGCAATTGAAGTCAAAGCATTATAATAATAATAACTACTGATCTAAAACTAGACGAGGGATCGAGAAGTTTGTCATTTCCTTCCGATTTGTAACAAGAAATTGAGGACTACGAGGTGAACTGATGAAGATTTGTACGTTTAGCAATTTCAGACTGAATGTGTCATATTGGATGTGTACGTTTAGCAATTTCAGACTGAATGTGTCATAGGACTATAATCGCATTGTTTGGAATGGTAGGATTTGGAGGGATTTGCCTTTGTTTTGGGGCAGGGGTCCTAGAGGAAGAAGAGTAAAGTGGTGCTATCTGATATTGGAATTCGGGAAAAGAATTGATAAGGTTGCTAAGCAAAGGGCCAGGAGTACAATTTTGCTGTGAAATGGAATGTTGTTTTCCAAAAAGACTTCATTTAAATTGTGGTGTCATGGATCAAATGTACTTTTGTCACTACTACATGGGGTCAGAATGAGTGAATTTGTAAGTTAAATTGAGCTAATTTACTTTCTTCTCTAGTAAACTTTCTCCAAGAAATGCACAAGAAAGGATTAATGATCATAGTAGGCTTTGAGTTTTGTGATTAGAATTGAAAAGGCAAAGTAGATTTGACGGTATAACTAATAAATGTGTACTACTTTTGTTGAATACTTCCAAGTAGAGGTGGCAAAATGGATAAATGGTTCATAATTGGTTTTGACTTAATGGATGGTGGATAAAATTTATCCAATCCATTTAAATCCATTTAATAAATGGATCTAAATGGATGGATCTAAATGGATTAAATAAAAACCAATTATCCATTTATAATCCATTTAAATATTTTACTAGTTCCCTTATTCCACATTTTTCTAGTTTAGAAGACAGCCCATGGAAATGTTGTAGTGAGCTGATTAGTCCAAACTTACCAAGACTCCCCAAGTCCTCGGACATGTTTTTCTGAGTCTCCGAGGCCAACACCCAACATCAACTGACCGCAACGGCGAGAGCGATGTCCCATTGGCTGGCGAGCCGTTTCAGAAGTTCATTTCCTTTCTGTTTCTTTTATTTGGTTTTTAAGTAAATGGATATATATGGTTTTTGTGGATAATTCATATAAATCCATTTAATTTAATGGTTTTATTTTGATTAACCATTTAAAACCAATACTATAAATGAATAATCCAAATCCATTTAATTATGAATTATATGGATGGATAAATGGATCTCAATCCAAATTGCCACCTCTACTTCCAAGTTCACATTTTTGGCTGAATCTTTTGTAAAGATTTGCTGGCCATTTTTTTTTCCAACTTAATAGCTTAAAAAAAAAAGAAGCTTTTTTCCAACTTAGTAATGCTCATTTGGTACTTCCAAAAAGTTCATATGGTAGTGCTGCATGTTGATACGTAACGATTAATGTTTTTATACTTAATAATATATACAGTATATACACTATCAACGTTGAAAGAATAATAATTATATATAATTTAAATTTAAAATTTAACTTTTATACATATGTCATGGATCCAATGATAATAATGTATGCACTGTTACTGTATATTAGATTTACTCAACACTCCATAATATTGGCCAAACTGTTATAACTTATAAGCTACGACACTAATCAAAGCAAAATATCAGCTCCTAAAATTAAACATATAGTTTGAAAGTTAATAAATGTGGTGGAGGAATTCTTTGGATTGCAGATTTCTAAAGAAAAATTGTTATGTTTTTCATAAACACATTTTTCAATCATCTTTTTGCCTCTTATATATCAAATCGTTATAGTAATTTTTCTATAAAAAATCCAGAAAATATAATCCAAACACAACCATTGCCATATCCATACAATTGTGACTTGACACATAAATGGAAGTCTCAAGCAACCCTATGAAATCTAATCTTAATTCGAGAACCCACACTGCATATATTGAGACTCGAAAGATCTTGGCCATATCATGGAACCTGCTGCTCTCGCAATCTAGTTGCTGGATTTTTCATTTGTTTAGTACATCAATTGAAATCGCTTTATTGGCTACAAGCAGGAAAATTCTGCTAAGAGAACAGTGAATATACCGCCGTAGCTTTAAATAATCTAACAGAACCAGCCACAAAGGAACAATTGTAAGATGACTCCAATTCAATTCACAAGGACTTGTAAAAAAGTTCCACTGGTTTACTTTTCAGAGCAAAAAAGTTGTGCAAACACAAATGGAACTACGGTTTGAGTGAAGAAGGCAAATCAAGAAAGAAAAAAAAAATTACATCCCATTATAATTTAGCTTGAATTCTGTTGTAAAATATGTTAAATGCGTATCTTCTCCTTTGCATTCCTTTTTGGCTGATTTCCAAGTTCAAGGATTATAGTACTTTTCTGTGCCTGGATATCCCTGTTGCTTCTCATATTCTCCCATGGAATCAAACTCATACTTGGACTTTTCACCGTTACCGTAGTAACCTTCAGCATTGCTATTTTTCTTCACTGATTCATACCCATTTTGATTCAGATTCTCATTGTTAACATCATAATAGTACTTACCATTCTCCAAGAACCTTGTGTCACTCATCCCTTGTTTCTCATTCCTGTAGCTATTGCTATATCCATTGTTGTTATTGTAGACTGAATTCGAATAGCCATTGCTGTTGTAGTTGTTGGAGTAGCCATTATTGTTGTAGTTGTTGGAGTAGCCATTGCTGTTGTAACTGTTGGAGTAGCCATTGCTGTTGTACCTGTTGGAGTAGCCATTGCTGTTGTACCTGTTGGAGTATCCATTATTGTTGTAGTTGTTGGAGTAGCCATTGTTGTTGTAATTGTTGGGGTAACCATTGGAGTATTGATTCCCGGCATTGTTTTCTGCGAGCCTTTCGTTGTTGATTTCCGGAATTTCATCTTCCTCATTGCCAAGGGCGGTGGTCGTGGTCTTTTTTGTGGGAGAAACAGTAGAAACACCGCCATAGAGGCCATAGGGATGGTCAGTACTCTCAATTGGTGCTGGTGCTGGTGCGGGAACTTCTAGATATGTTGGTGCAAAGCTGATGTCACTAGTTATAGGTGCTGGTGCTGGTGCTGGAGAAATTGATGGTGCTAGCACTGGTGCTGCCACTATAGGGACATGCTTGCTTACTCTAGCCCCAGTATGAACAGAGGAAAGAAGGAGAACAAGCAAGAGAATGGAGACATTTTTAGCCAAGGGAGCCATAATGGAGAAGGACGGGAAATGGTTGAATTTGTTGTTTGGCTCTGAAATTTCAAGATCCCAAATGCATCCTTTTATAAATAGACAAAGTGGGGTATTCTTCTCTCTTTTTCAGCCGTGATGATTTGCGGGGATTGAGGCCTTGAGGGATGTGAAGAATGTGGGCATAAGAAATTATAGCTTTTGGGACATGCTGCATGTGGAATCCTTGAGAATGTCTTTCACAATTGAGGCGCCTAATCTTCGGCCGGGAAAAAAGTGTCATTAATTAGTCAAAAGCCGGCATTTTCTCATGGGATGCTTAAAGAAAAAGTGATGTTGCTCAAGCTTGCAACATCATAAAATAAAGAGGAGGGCCCCTGCCGCCAGTTTTGCAGTTGAGTTAGTTGAAAGGGCTTATAGCCTTGTACCATATTTGAAGGGGAAATTCTTCTATTTATTACAGCTCTGATCATATGTGCCATTGAGCATATAGTAGTCATGCACCGGAAGACTTTTAAGATTCTTGATCATCTAATCCAGCAAGAACAGGCGGAGGAGATACAGGTTGTATAGCTGGATAGAAACACATCAGATGGCTCAATAAAACCTTTCAACAACATTGCATGGTTATCCACTATTTCAAAATGCAGTATGTGGTGGTTCTCAGTTCAGTAGAGAAACTGGAGCCATCACGAGGAAAGACCTGCATTACAGGGTATGATGAATTCATGTTTGGGCAGAGAACTAGAGATATTACGAGGAAAGACCAGCATTGGCCGGTAGCGAAATTTTGAGATAATTTTGATGTTAAGATTGATTTACAAGTCTTTCAAGTTTTAATGTTGACTAAACATCTCATCTTCTTTTGATCATGTCCTCCGTTCAAGTCTTTCAAGATAATTTTGATGTCGATTTTTTTCCTCCGTTCGAACTCTTTTTAAGGACCAAGTGCAACAAACTTAAGTTCCTAACAAGCAACGGCGATTTCACCTACGGTTACATTCCATCGAGAAGATATACAAAGGCCAAGTAATTTGCGAAATCGTCTAAAAGATTCTATTTCAAAGAGAAATAAATCGATAATCGTACACATTAGATGTACAAAAACTTTTTCTCTTGAAGGTACAGAAGAACAGTTTAACAAGAGTGCTTTTCTGCTCGTAGCTTTGTAAGTAACCCCCCAAAGCTGAGGAATAATTTGTGGCAGTCTCCCACCTCCGTAATGAATCAAAACTTGATGCATAGCAAAAACTTGGGAGAAGAGAAGGCAGATAAAGTGGTCCACCTGAGATCTACTACTGATCATCTCTATACTCGGGATTCTCTTTTAAGATGACAAAACCCTCGAGAATGGGTGACAGCGGAATGTATCTGCACCAAAATTTGATATCAGCACAACCAAATGTATGTATACCAGAATAATGAGTTGCATAGGGAAAAGAATTTACTTTTCAGTTGCAAGCTCTGCTCTATCCCCAGCAGAGAGGAGGACGGGGGTTGTGTGCGTCTGGAAACCTGTTATGGTCTTAGGCCTGCCTGCTTGGCCAACAACATCTACTGCTTGACCCACTCGGACAGGTACAGGCAAAGCCTTCAGATTTTCATCAACCGTCATCAACATCCTTGGCTGTCAATGGCAGAATAGAGGAAGTAAGAACATAGGATCGCTCAAGAAAAGGAATAAATATCACCGTTCAAACAATCAATTTTTTTTTTGTTGGGTGGGGAAGGAAGGAACAATCAGATATACAAAAGAGATTTAATACCTGCATGGCTAAAACAAGGAAGTATAGAATGTAGTGGTATTTTCCGAGGATGACAGCTTTCATATCAAGACATGCATGTAATAAAGTCACTAGTCCAGCCAGCGCAGTACTATAGACAGGATGCAAATAAGAAATTAGAATACTTCACAAAACTGGAGCAACTATCTACATCTGAAAGAGCAAAAGGGGAGTAATAGACTTACGGAGACAACAAGAACCGTTCCGAGTGATATGGGGAGAGTGTCAACAACCCCTTTCCTAAGTGGACAAGACCTTGAGCAATCCTCACCTGCCAAATGGGCCAAAAGAATCATTAGGTTGTCAGGAATATGCTAGTCAGCATGCACTTATCTAGGAAATGAAGCTTACACAGAAGAGAAGACTCGGTTCTTTATAGTAGTAGCTTGACAAATTGCGAAGCATGCCAGCTATTCTAGCATTGTTGGTTCCTGCACCTATCAAACCCAGAGAAACGATAGCAGCCTACATAGTTCAAAAAAGAGTTTTAAGATAAGGAATCATATACTGAAGCAAAGATGAAAACTTCATAAGATGATTGAAAAACATAACAAGCTTGTCTAAACTACCATAGCAACTTCAGTGTCAGAATCATGACTGAGTCTGCTTAAAGTGTCCATGACATTGACCTATTGACACGAGCCAAAGTCAGCAAGGAAAATATAGATAAAAAGAGGCATCTGAAAGACAAAGTTGCCTCTTGGTATCTTGATAATTACTATGACTAGCATAAGTCATGAGATTAAAGTACCTTCGGATTTGATATACATAGAAGACCCAAAGCTAGAGGAACTGCCTTTCTAATATTCTGCTCACCGTACTGTAAAAGATGCTCTAAGGACCGGATTGCCATTTCAAGGCCCAGCTCTTCAGCCATTGCTACCATAGCTATTCCAAGTACAGCGGGACCCTGGAAGGTCTCACCCTTCTCAAGATGTTGAGCACATTGACCGAGGAAGTGTTGGACCTATATAGCACGGATAAAAATGCCATTACATAGTGTAATAAACAACCACTAGCTAACCATGAAATTGCAAATCAGGGATTTTAGTTCAAAACCTTTAGGACATTCCCAGTTCCAGCATAAGCACAAGAAAGCAGTGTCATGTCACAATGCTTCCGGATTTTTTCATTAAAGGTCTTTGAAACCTCAGCTGTAGCCTCCACACTTTCCTGTTAACAACAAAAATTTGGATCCCAAAAACTGTTTAAACAATATAGGAGGACTTATGCAAATGACCGATCTCAATCAAACGGAACAGCCCTATAAAGCAGTAGATAAGACGCGCATACTAATAGGAGATTCAAGAAACTTATCTATTTCAAACAAGCTGAATATAACAACAATTTCCTTGCCTGTTTCCCAAGGTAGAGGAGCCCAAGCCCAAGAGGCAATAGGCGTGTGAGTGGTTCACCTAATTCTGATTCGCTTCGGTCCATCAACGCAAATATAATTGCCTGGGCAATATCTTCATTACAAGAGCCCACATATACCAAGCCCAATGAGATTGCAGTAAATGCAATCACATCAAGGGATGCCTTTGCATCATTCAGTATAGGAATTAGTTTACTCCGGATCTGCAAGAAGATACAAAAGATTCAAATTCAAGTAGTCATGTCTTGCCAGCAAAGATACAAATAAGACAGCACATCCAACTCCACATACTTTACCATGGCTGTTAAAAAACAAAAGAATAGATTTCCATCTTGGAAGGTCCCAATCTAAAAGTCCATTAATCCAATATAAGAAGACAAAGGAAGCTCACCTGCTCACTTTGAGCACCTGCATACGCAAGTCCTAGGCCCATTATAGCACCAATTCTAATAGCAGGATCCTCTCTGTCAACATATTCAGCTAGAAGTGCCAAAGCCTGAGATTAATAGTTAATGCAACATGTTAGAAGCAACCTTTAATGAAAGAATACTCCACACCACCAGGGTAAAGAGGAGGGCATGGGGTGAAGAAAACTTACAGGATCGCAGTCATTCTTGACACCACAATTTACAATGCCAACTCCTAACAATGCACCCGCGATGACTGGTGTGTCGGTGCTATGGAAGTACTTGTCAATTTGAGCCAATCCAGAATCAACGTCCCAAAGAAGGATCATACCCTAAAAGCCAGGGAAGAATAACATTCATATTGTAACTGAGTGATAACCAGAGAAGAGCTAAGATGAAAGTAAACTGGCATACCAGACTTGCTGCAGCGCTAGTCTTTCCATGTTCCTTATTTTTGTAAAGCCAGTTTGTGGAAGAGCTACCACTTGAAGCTTCAGATGCTACGGTCATCAACTTATCCTGCATGTGAAAGCATTGAAATTTATTCGACATAAATACAAGCAGTTATCCATTTTACATATTGACAAAGCATGCTCTTACCTGACCAAAGCCAGCATTGACGAATGCATTTACAAATGTTGCAGCAAGATTCTGTCTAGCTGAATCCATGCTTGCCCCAGCACTGGCCCGACCATCAAGTAAATGAGCCTTGTAAATGTCTTCAGGAGATTTTGGCTCCATGACCTCTATATCACGAGCTAGTGTAAGATAGCCTTCACTTAACTTAGCGTTATTGATAATTTCTTGTAGTCCCTCCCTCTCTTCATCATCTGCACACATCTCTTCATCAAGCTCAAAAGTTATGCCCTGCAATCAAAGCCAACAGAAGCACATCTAAGGCAAGAACCTTCCACATATTTTTTGTACAAAAATAATCAATATGACACAGCTACTCAGAATAGTTCATTATCTTAAAACAATCAATTGCTAAAAAAATTTCATCAACCCCAATAAAAATGGTCAATGGGCCAATGGCATGATATCTCTTGGACAAGCAAGAGAAACCCCCGGTACAGAGACAGGTCATCCATTAGACAATTGAATAACTTCTCATACAGAGCCAGATATGTTAAAACCAAAAAGCATCCAATACACTCAAACTCCATTGATGTAACAATCTTTCACTACAAAAAAAACATCTTATGGGCTTACATGGCGAGCAAGAATGTAGCAAAATTGCTTTTTCAGCAGAAGGTCATGGCAAGTCGTAAAGATCTGCTTGACATACTGCAATGACAATGTCAAAACATAAGATCAAAATCAAACCATAAAGTAAAGATTAGAACATTAACCATAACAAAGAGCACAATATCGCGATAAGCAAACCTGCATGTTATCTAGATACAAAGCTATCTGAAGTGCTCGAGGAAATTCTTCAAATTTCATATAAATCATGTAGGCAATATCCAAAACTAAGTTGTCGTCCGGTCCAGGAAGGTATCTGCAAAAATCAG